CCCGTTTCTTTCTCTCAAAGTCACCGTTGCATGTAACCCAACAGTCCCAAAAGCAGGCAGAGCAACTCCTCTTCGCAGTCATCTCTCTCTCTCTCTCTCTCTCTCTAAAGTTGTGAACTCTCGTTTTCGGTTTTGCATGTGTTTGGGTTAAAACTTAAACTTTGGGCTCAAAAGGGAGTTGGCCCAAAAAGATGAGAGAATCCCGAAGTCCAGCCCAAGCCCAAAAGACAGAAGAGGCCTTTCTCGACTAGGTGCAGATCATTGGCACCACTTGCTCACCTACCTAAAGACCAAGTGGTATATACCAGCCAGCTAATCAGCCCAAAAGTACTTTACAGTGGTAGTACAAGTAAATAGCTGATGAGTCACTGTCTTTCAAACCGCATTCGGGCAAGATTGCTGCTACAGGAAGCCAAGCCAGAGTGTCTATAAAAGAGGAAAGAGAAATCAGAGTTGAAGACACTCAAACAAACAAACAAATACAAGCACAAACTCTGCTCAAAAGCCAGATTTGCTTTCAAACGAAACTGTAGTCAGCCCAAGCCTTCATCCCTTTCGGGATAAACCCTCACTCAAGCCTTTGTAATAGCTCTACTACCCTGTTCAACTCTTGCTGTAGTATCGATTTCTTTCTGTAAACTCATCTCCCTACCCCTCTTCTAAAGCTCTCAGCCCCTTTGATAAACCACAAAGATAGGAAGTTGCAAGACGATCAGCCTTGCCCGACCCTCTGTGTTTCTGTCTGTTCATTCATTAACCTAGCAATATGTTGTATACTTCAAGTTGTATTCAAGTTATTTCTAGTAAGATGGCTATTAAAAGATGCTCTCAATGCTTGAATCCGATTTGAATATGTCTTCACAGTTCAAACCAGATCTAAGTTCTAAGCCCTCGGGCATGTAAGATTTGATCACTTAAAAGAACCTTATGTGGACTTAACCCATCCACGACAAGCTTTGATAACAAGAAGTCCGAAGTTACTTGGGGCGCAAGTAATCGACCTATTCCTTAGTTTCATTTCTATTATATTATGATTACCATAGAACGTTTGAGTATGGAATGAATTCTGATAGGAAGCCTCAAGGCCTACACCTAAGACCCTACAAAGGCACCTATTTGGATTCATTCTATTCCTCGGGCTAGAACGTTTAAGTATAGAAGGAATTTTGATGGGAAGCCTCAAGGCCTATATCTAAGGCCCTACAAAGGCACCTATTTGGATTCATTATGCTCTTCAGGCTCAGGTAATCAGAAGTATAATGGTTATAAGACTCATACAATCAATGAAGCGGACATTATGTTCGAGTACTGAGTTAGTTATTGACTGGAAGCCTCAAGGCCTACACCTAAGGCCCCACAAAGGCACCTGTCATAACTAACATAGTATCTTGGATATATATACAACTAAAACTCAACATCTGTTTTACATCTGCCATGCTGAAGATGACAGTGGCATGCCTGAGCACTTAAAAGTTAATCTTGATTGTGAGCCTCAAGGCTTACACCTAGGGCCCCACGAAGGCACCTTTCAAAGTTAACTTTGTCATTCTCTTTCAGCTTTTCCCGACAAGCCTTGCCCGACAAGCTTTGCCCGATAAAGCCCACCAGTGAAGCAGAAGCCCGACAGAAAGCATCAACCGGCGCCAACCTCTCGGGGAGCTGTGTGCTCGTCGGTCAGGGAACATCCCCGACGGAAATTCCTGCCACGAACAGCATGTACTTCTCAATTTTCACCATTTGATTGGATAGATTTGAAGGTTTGTCTGATTTTTCCCAGATATTTGATTGTTTTGATTTCACCCCTTTGAGGATTTTGGACTGGCTTCTTTGTTTATGCCATCAAATAATTGATTCCAAAAGAGTTGTAAAGGAAGATGAAAAGTAATAGTCTTTGTTTTGTAATTTTTTTCTTTAATTATGTTTCTGTTGAGTCTTACACTAGTTATACAAAAAAAGAAATAATAGTATAAATACCTTAACCCCACTTTAATTAATACTGAGGTCTTTTGTGATAAAACTCTACCTCTGACGGATTGTGCAGATGATAATTACCAAGTTTGGGACAATATCGGTATTGTTGGAAGTGGGCCAAGTTTAGGATAATATCGGTGTTGTTGGAAGTGGGTTGTATGGCCCGTCTCTCCTTGCATGTAGGGTGTGTCCCTGGCCCCTCTCTACAGTTTCTCCTTAGGGGGATTAAATCATATTAGTTGAACGTCAAATTTCAATTTAAAGAACAAAATTGAAATGATGAAGAGGCCTTCAAAACGACATAATTAAGCACATATTGCCGGGCCCTCGAATTCGAAGGCAATCATTAGTTTTCATTTAGTAGGCTATGTGGTGCTTATTATTTCTACTGGAGTGAATATGTACGAACATTATTCTAGACACAACTGGTATGATTAATCAAATTTACGATCACCTTTGTTTCTCTGTATTGGTTTTTCTTTTTTCCTCTTCTCTTTCTCTTTCAATGCATTCTAAATAAGGATTTCATTGATTTTTATTATATTTTTGTCTATTGCGCCAATTTTTATTGAAATGCCTTAACCTTTCTACTTCCTAGCAGTATATAGTTTATAGTTTATGTTATTTTCTGGTACTTATTAGGGTTTCGTAACGCAAGTTACCGGATATTCGAATTAAATACAAAATTTGAAGAAAATCTTTTGCTAGGAAAAGAAGCTCAGATGGAACAATGTCAGTCTCTTCTTTTCCTCCTGATCTTCCTAACTCTCTCAAGGTCAGGTATGTCATGATTTTGGTCCTCTTCTTTCAGCAACACCGACAATAATCCTCCGGAAAATCTGCAATTATCTGGTGATACTTGTTGCTGCACAAAACCGGAGGGGTCTTGGAACAACGTAAATCCGACCGTGAATCTGCAAGAAAGTAAATAACACAAGATGTGTCGTGGTTCACCCCAATGTTTGGGCTACGTCCACACTCATATTGTATTTCTCTGAGAGGATTGTGAGGGAGAGGGTGAGAGCTTCTGAGGGCGAGAGAGTTGTTCCCATGGCCTAAGAAATAACCTCCCTTAATGAGGAGAGTGAAGGGTCATTTTATAGAATAAGGGCTCCTCACTTATTACATATTTGCCCCTTCTTTTATTACATAATTACATTTGAGTCCCCCGAGTATTTATACGAGGTCTAAATACGGAGGCTCTAAGTATGGTACAAACAATACTGCTTCCGAATTCTCTATGGATTCTCTCAATGATGAAAAAGGCATTGAACGTGTCAACAACGCTAGAAGAAAACTGGTGGGCACTAATTCGTGTTAGCATGATGCTTATAAAGGAATATTTGGAGCATGCTTAGAGATGGCCGCGGCTGACAACAATAAGAGGAAGAGATTTGCTTGGGATCCTAGCAATTGCTTTCAAAAGGATTCTGGAACTAGCCCTTGTCCTACATGTCGTGTAGGATCTCCTATGAAACCTTGTCTTGAAAAATTGGACAATGATGCTATTCACACGTTGTTTGGGTTAATATTTGAACATTGGACTTAGATGAAGGAAAGCCCAAGGGTGCCAACTAAAAGGGGACTTGCCCGAAGCCTAGCACAAAGCCCAAAAGCCTTCCCGACCAAATATAAGCCACGTGCTTACTATTGAAGTGACAAGTGATGAAGACTAACCTACTACCAGCCAAAGAACACTTTCTAGTGGCATTGCAAGTAAAAAGCTGATGACTCACTACCCTAAAAGTGCTTTCGGGCAAGAATGAAGTTGCAGCAGTAGGGTTAATCTGCCTATAAAAGGAGGAAGAGGCCCCAGAGACAAGGGCACTCAATCAATCAAACAAACAAACATACAAACTCTGCTCTCTAGCCAGATTTGCATCCAAAAGCTAAAATCAACCCAGATTCAGTCCTTTTTAGCGACAAGCTATCTCTTGTCTAGATTTCCTTAGAAAGCCTATCTTTCTCTAGTTTAAAAGCTCTGATAACTCCCTTAGTGGCGTAGTATCGATTCCCTTGTGTAAACTTGTTTACCATCCATCCCTTTTTAGCATATAAACCCCTGTTAATTCAAATAGAAGTAGCTGCAAGAGGTTCAACCTTGACAAACAAGGTGAAATCTTGCCCGATGCTCTTTGTTTGTTTTCTGAATTTATAGATCTATTACTTAATGCATTCTCTAGTATGTATTCAAGTTATTTCCACCTGCTTTCCTACTTTAAGAGTCTCATTTGCACTTGGATCCGGCTAGTTTAATGGATATGTTATCATTAAAAGCAATTTAGGATCAACCAAATGACTTAAGGGGATCTAGACTCCCTTCATTCAAACTTACAAGACTATGAACTAAAAGTCCTTATTTACAAGGCAAGAAAAAGAACTTAATATGGACTTAACCCATCCATGACAATCCTTTTATAACAAAAAGTCCAAGTAACTTGGGGTGCAAGTAATCGACTTAAAACACTCTTGTTCTACATTTGCTATACTGAGATAGCAGTGGCACGCCTAACACTCAGTTAGTTTTGATTGCGAGCCTCAAGGCCTACACCTAAGACCTCACAAAGGCACCTTTCAGAACTAACTGTGTCCTCTTCATGTAGCACATCAACAAGCAAGAGCCCGACTACACATCCAAAGTGCCAATCTCTTGGGGAGCTGTGTTGAGGTCCGAGCATCCTTCCACAGAGAAATCTTCGCCATGAAAACACGTACCGTGATTCTATCTTGAAACCAACTCCATTTGCCATCAGTTACAGTCTGGCATATTCAGGCATCAGACAGAGAAATTGTGAATGATTTGAAGAAAATCATCCGATTATGCAGAGAAAAATTTAGAGAACATAGCGGAAAAGGGCAGATAAGTTGTTAGAGGGCTCGAAAGTTATACACGAGTCTTTGACTTCAATTGAAGAACAAACACAACAAGTGGCTCAAACTTCCAAGAATGTCAGTGATCACATTGGTGAGATAGTGAAGCAGTCAGAGGCAGTGCTCGAGAAGTCCAAGAAAATTGAAGCCTATTGCAGATGGGGCAGCACAAAATGAAGGAAAACTTGGAAGCAGGGATGGCAATGGTTCATGAATCTTATCACATCTTAGATAAAGGAATACTCAGCTTGCAGGATGAGACTAGTGAAATAGAGAAGAAGATAGGAGTAGTTGGAGAAACCATGTCTTCAAAGATGAGCTAGTTGCAAAGCAAGGTGGACGATATTGGGAATGTAGCTGATATTTCCTTGGAAAGGCAAAAGGAACTTCTAAATGGCCAATCTGAAGCGCTTAACGGGCTTCAGTCTCTGACCAAATTCCAATCCCAAGCTCTAAAAGAGAGAAAGTAAGACATAATGCACTAGTCATGGTGGTGAGGAAATTTTAGGCATTATCAAGCTGTATGTCTTAATGTTGCTAATAACACATTTTAAAATTTGCAGGGCGATATTGCAGCAGTTCACTACATTTGGCCGTGAAAAACAGGAAGGGCTTCTTCAAAGCCAAGAGAAGATTCAACGAGCTCATGACCATTTAGTTGAAAATTCACAGACCATATTGGAAGCTCAAGTAACTATTTCTTTTCGTTCCATTCTCTTTGTAATAATTTTATGATTAACATAACACTGATTCATTTTAATGTATACAGGAAGCTTTTGAACAGAAGCAGTCATCCATGTTTGTTGCTTTGGATAGGCTATTTGCCTTGCAGGACGCGTTGCTGGTGGAAACACGATCAATGAAAGCAGTCGTTTTCTATTTCATATCAATGCTTGCCATTTACATGTTAACCAGCACAAAGTAAACCTATCCAGTGAAACACTGGCTTTACTTGTGTAAGTGTATCATCCTTTATTCGTATGTATTTTTTACAAAAATATGTTTTGTGATTTTGTAACTAACTTGTAAGTGAACATTTTTTGCCACAGTTCTATGCCTTGCATTCATGCTCGAATTTGCAGTCCTTCGACTTGCAACAAAGGGAATAGAACAACGGACTCGGTGGGGTAGTGGACTCAGGAACGTTATGTGCTTTACGCTGGCCTTCACTTATTATATGCTTGTTGGAAATACAAGTAAGTGAAAAGACCTCATCAAACATTAAAATTATATAGTTGGTTTTTATGATTTGGATTTAACATGTCTATGTGTTTTAAAATTTTCAGGGACTATGAAAGGCTATACTACAATATGCTACAAAAACTAACAGAGGAGGTTATAAGCTTGCGAAAAAACGCAGAGTTGTCATGGGAATCAGATGATGAATCCGACTGGTCTGCATTAGTTGACAAAGACGTATCGGGCGACATTTTCTAAGCATTTCCAGGAAGAAGTTGGAGATAATTTACGTGCAGTCTCTTCATATACTGGAAGATATAATCTACGCAGTCCCACTCGCAGTCCTATCTGATTTGATGTAAAAATTTGTTTGCCATGTTTTTGCTAAGAAATTGAGAACAACATTATAGTCTTAGATTACTACTGTTTTCCTAATATTTTTGTGATTGTGTATGTAAATCAACATTCGTTATCATCAACAATATCTAATCCAGTTTTACAAAGATATTTAATACTGGATACTAGAATTATTATATAAAAACGTCAGTTGAGAAAAGTTAACTATCAAGGATTCCACATCTAACCAACATAAAAGATAAGCTCACAAGGCCTAAGCCTTACGATCTCACCTAACATCATTAAGACACACAAGATAAACATTGTACTATCACAGAAGACTTTGCAACAACAAGAAAACATGTTTGTGAATTCCTCGAACCATTGCCTCGACCCCAAGAAGGAAAGACCGCACCACCCATTCATAATCTTGCAATTGTTGGCAAAACCCCTACTATGAGTCACCTCCAACAAATGTAGAGCTTCCTCTGCATAATCCTTGCCAAGTGCACAAACTTCGTGAGCGTTATCTTTCTGTTTGGTTAAATGTGATTATGTGGAGTATGTTTTGTATTATCTTTCTGTTGCGTTTGTAATCATAAAATTGTAATCATGATAGATGCTATTCTTCGTTCATTTGACTAATAAAATACTTATTATCTTTAAAAAAAGGATCTTACAATCTTGGAAATAAATAAATTTGACAGGATGTGAGTAGATGGTCGCAAAATTTGTCACTCATAATTTTATTTTATTTGTTTGCTTTCATATACATAAGTTTGATATGTAAGACTCACTGTTATCAAATACATGCACATACAAATCCAAATCAAGTGATTAACAGAAGAATCTTTCACCACTTTTAATTGTTTTAAAATATTAGATTTGGGATTTGATTTGGCTGCTCATATATATATGGAAAGCCTTGAAGTCGAATATAGCACATAACTGATACTGACATACCATAATCATGATTAAAACAAAGCCAAAAGCGACTAATCAAAACGTTGGCAGGTGGATTTACAATTCAGAATCCTTAAGTGGACAAAAATGTCACCAACAAGGCAACTTCATAATCTTTGATGCTACCGTAGAAAGTAAAATTTTGATTAGAAAAACAAGCAACAAAATTATATAAAAAAAAAAGAGAGGAATTGGTAATAATTTGATAATTAGTTTAACTAGCTTATTTAATTGTGTTTTTCATCAAGTACATGTATCTTAATTACTATTAGTCATTGTTGAGACTCAATTATTTCCGTCTTCCATGATAATCTACTTTATTCTTCATGTCATTTTCAATCTGTATAAAAAGTGAGAACTGGTCATAAGATAATTGGAGCTCTTAGCACTTTAAAATCGTATTCATCAAGCAAAAGATAAGATCAAATTAAAGGGCACGGGAAAGTACTTTAGTTGCATATGTTGTTTTTTTTTTTCTAGTTAGTGATTATTAACGAGGGTATCTTTTCTTTGATAGTTACTCTTTTAGCATTATCATTGGTTTCTCTATATATGCTTTGTGATTCCCTTTGAAGAAGAAATTACATGTGGAACCAAATTATAAGACTGTTTTGAAGAGAGACAAAGTTTATTTATTTATTTCATAGAGAAACAAAACGTATTCATGTGGTAGATGATGTTAATTGTGTTTGCATTTACGATTTTATCCTTATATGTTTGAAATATAATCTCCTCATTTCTCTCTTTCCTCTTTTTCTTTAGTAAATCTCACTTTCCCTCTCCTCCTTTTTCTTCCTACCTCTCTTTCTTTCTCTCTTCTCCTTCTCCTTCGTCCTTCACTCTCTCCTACTTCCAAGGTTCTAAAAGACGTTAGGCGCTAGTCGGGCGGTGGGCTGGGGCCTAGCGCCTAGGCGGCTAGGTGGAGTCTAGGCGGGCGCCTAGGCGAACTAGGCGGATTTAAGTAAATCCATTATATTTCGTGTAAATAATGTCTGTTTATACTTAAAATATATATAATTTCATCATAAACTACAAAATAGAATGACATATGTATTATGAAGTATTTGAACATAATAAAAACATGGGGAGCTAGTGTGTGTTCATTTAAGTATTCAACAAGTCTCTTACAATTTATTGAAAAAAATTAAATGCAAATCGAAAGTTATTTATTTTTTTGTCTAAGTGAGTCGCAACCTAGCCAAGTGCCTAGGCGGGTCTGGGCGGTCTAGGTGGGCGCCTCAGCTGGTCTAGGCACCCTTTCTTAATTTTCAAATGTCTAGGCATTAATCGGGGCAGTGACCAGCTGCCTAGTGCCTAGGCGGGGATTTTTAGAACAGTGTCTACTTCTTATTCGTACTTCTCTCTCCTCCTCTTCTTCTTCGTATTAATTATTCCTTAGATTTATGAGTTTAATTTTTCTTTTATGAGAATGATTGAGATTTTTTATTTTTTAGCATTTTAATATATATATATATATATATATATATATATATATATATATTTGATTTAGGTTTTGATTATTTGGTTGCATGAATTTTGAAATTGATCTAGCAAAAGTACTAAAAATTTTGAAACTAATATTGTAGAAGTGCTGAAATTTTGAAACTGATCTTGTAGAAGTGTAGAAAATTTAAAACTGGAATTTTGAAAGGGATTTTGCAAAAGTACTGAAATTTTGAAACTAATCTTGTAGAAGTGTTGGAATTTTGAAATTGATCTTATAGAAATGCTGAAGTTTTGAAACTAATTTTGCATAAGAGCTAAAATTTAGAAACTGGTCTTGCAAAATGCTGGAATTTTGAAACTAATCTTGTAGATTTGCTGGAATTTTGAAAATGATCTTGCAGAAGTGCTGAAAACTCATAAACTAATCTTACAGAATGTTGGAATTTCAAGACTGGTCTTAGAGGAGTGCTGGAATTTTTAAACTTATCTTGCAAAAGTGCTGAAAACTTTGAAATTGATCTTGCAAAAATGCTGGAAATTTTGAAAGTAATCTTGCAGAAGTGCATGAATGTGAAATTGATATTGCAGAAGTGCAAAAATTGATCAGCTTATAGTTTTGGCTTGGTTAAGTAACAAGTCTATTGGGGCGTGACTGAAATTTTAAAATTTTGGTTTGCTTATTTTTGGGTTAGTTTTATTAGGATTTGTCTCTTTTGAAACGATTCAAAACCAGTAGAATTATATGAAATGTATTTTATAATTTTGTCTTTATAAGTAAAACTCTTTTTTTTTTATTATGTTAATTGACAAAAAAAAATGTTATACATATGTAATTGTTTTGTTCCATGAGACTAATTAAAACCCCAGCCTACAAAATATCATCAAAAGAGAATCTTTTTTTATGCAATATTATGGTAGTTAAAACTCTTGTTTTACTTATCATGTATCGAGATTTTTGAATTTATTTTATTGTGTCACAAGTTATCTCTAATGATAGATTCTTTATTTTTTTATTTTTTTATACATTCTTAAATTTTTAATTGTATACAAATATGTGGCTAAGTTTGGTTGAATGCACATTTTTCCACTCCGGCCAACAGAGATATTTGTGTGATTTCAAAAAGGTTTCTAGTCACCCTAGCTCCACCTACCAAGCATATAGTTAAACCAACCATTAACACTATTAAAATAGTATTTTCCACACGTGAAAAAGATCAACGATTTTTATACATAACCACTGAAAGCGTTTTTCATATATAAAAGGAAAGTATTACTCGTTTCCAGAAACGTGCAAACATTTTCTTTTCGATGTTTTGGCCAATATTGTTGTTGGCAATAATGTATAGGTAACCTGTCGAATTAAGAAACATATGAAGCAATCAACAAACGGTATTGAGAAAGAAAAAGAGTAAGACTCCTTAATAAGGATATAAAAAGGTTGACACTGAAAAAAGTGCATGAGGATGCCATTGCTGTTGGCAAGTTTTACGCGTTTTCTATTTCCTAATTTTACTGTTTAATTAATGCATACTTCGATTTAAATGGAACACATCCTTTTTCCACAAAACTCACAATGACAACTATTCTTGAACACAAATTTCTCAGTGTGTACTTCACGAGGAGGAGTGACTCAAATTTGACTATACATTTCATATCTTTACATGAAAATATACATATCGAAGACCTAATAGAAAATGTTACCAAACTCATCACATACGGTTTATGAAACGAGACTCTTTTGTGTGGATATGAATGAATGGACTGATCATCATACAAGGAAAAAGAAAATCTTAAATGAAATGATTTGTTGGGATGGCATGGTGACCACAACTGCAATAGCTAGTATACACATGACTTCCTACAAATTCCACTTATTTTGGACAAAGGTTGGGGCAGTTGACTCTATCCTTGTTTCCCACTTATTTTAGACAAAAACCAAGCCACATTCGTACTCTCTTTCCCCTCTTATTTGGTAATTTGAACACAATTCATAGGGTCCCCTCATCATTACTGTTGAGAGTTGTCCCACATTGGTAAGGGATAAGGTTTGCTATGTGCTTATATAGTCTTGGACTACTCCCCATATTGTCAATTGATTTTATGGTGGAACCTCAATTTCATCAATTACTCAATCGTCAAAACCATATATATATTGTCAAACAAAACCTTATATTTATTTGATTATATATGTCTAATACAAGGAAAAACAAGGTTTTGGGAAGGGCATAAATATTCGTCAAGTAACGCATGATGTGGTAGGTTTCTATCAAATTCGGTAGGGGGTTTCTTGTAGCCTTGTAGGTAAACATAGGGCTGGAAAAAAAATCCCGAATTACCCGAACCCGACCGAAAATTCCCGAATTCAAAACCGAAAAATCCCGAAATAAAAAATCCCGAAACGTTTGGTAACCCATACCGAAAAAATCCCATGGATTCGGTACAGGAATTGGGACTTGGTTGGCAGATGTTCGGTAATCCCGAACCGATTTTTATACATATTATACATTTATTTATCATATATTATATATATTAGAATAAATTGTAACCATTAGATTCAGTTGAGATTAAATCTCAACCGTTGGGTAAAACACCTCACTCTCTCTAATCTCTCAAATGTGTCAGCACTTCCTCTCTCACTTAGACGACCTGCACTCTTTCTCTAACCTCTCAAATATCTCCGCACTCTCTCCTCTCCTCCTCAGCTATGTCAACAAACTCAACACTCTCTTTGATCTCTCGAATCGTCTCTACACTCTACTCTCCTCCTCCTCCCTCTGTGAGCACACTCAACACGTCCGACCGACCACCACATCTCTATGACTCCTCCATATTCCAGATCCAGGCTTCCATGGTTCCACCTCGAACGACCTCCAAACCAAAGCTTCTCTAGTATGATAATGAAGGTGTCAAGTTCATGAAATTATTGTACCTTGATTTTGATTTGGATTCTAAAATTGAGAAGGTTTTGAACTTTCAATTTGGAGATTTAGAATTAATTAAAATCCCCTTATTTCAATTACTGCTTGATATCTTTGTATTTGGCTTTCTACTTTTGAATTTTGATCGAGGGCTTCTTCGATCTTTGTATTGTTGACTCTCTGAATTTTTAGGGTTTGTCTGCAAATTTGGGATTTGGGATTTGCGTTGATTCAATCTTCTAAATTAGGACTGCAGTCATTCCCGATCCCGAACCGAATAACCGAAACAATTTCGGGAATCCCGAAATTCGGGAACACCGAAATTTTAGTACGGTTTCGGGTTTTAGAATTGCATCCTGAAAGGAGTCGGTTTGGGATTCGGGCTTTAGGTTTCGGTTAGGGATCCCGACCCGAACCAGCCCTAGGTAAACACTGGAATTTATTCCCATATATCTTGGGACCAAAAATTGATGGGTTGGCCAAAGGACCATTATTTTTTTTTTCTTTTTTCCTTGGTTTACATATAGAGTATTCTGTTCTCTTTTTTTTAATAAAGAAATATTATTAGTATTGCAAAATAATTATCTTACACTCATTATTTCATTAATTTTTCATCAAAGTAACTTCTTTTTTTTAATACAAGTAAAAGCTCCCATCATTTCCTACTATATGTGTGCGCGCGCGCGCATAGACAGTTTTCATCACCATCCCCTATACCTTTACTTTGTTGTTTCTTTTTAGGCCATCCTCAAATATCACCTCCACAAAAAAAAATTATAAATTTGAAACCATATGATCATTGGACTAAATGATTGTCATTATAGTATTTCTTTGCAAAACCGTATCCGTCTCCGTCTATTTTTTCATTAAAAAATAATATCTTAATAGTTTTGGATTTGTCTATCTTTTTGCAAGATGAATTATGAATGATAAATTAAAATGTAAATGGTTTGGATCCTTGAAAAAAAGTTAGGAAATGCAAACTACAAGAAAGTGTGTCAAAATGTGTGTAAAAAAATGTGTCCCTCGATCCGGACCCATGTTTATATATATTAGGGCTAACCACATTTTACACCCTCAAGGTTTGTAGTGATTTTCAAGGTCATGAGGGTTCAATTTTCTCACATTGCACCCTAAGATTTTGTAATTGTATCAATTTATACCTTTTGTCTATTTGCACCTCTAATTCTTTATTAAATTGATGAGTTTTTAGTCAATTTGGTACAAATATAGCTTACATGCTAATCCAATTACAGTTTCACGCTCATCATGTCATCAATTTAATAAGGATACAAATAATTTCTTAGACAAAAGGCATAAATTGATACAGTTTTCAACCTCAAGATGCATATGAAAAAAATTAAAACCTCATAGCGTAATTTGAAAACCACCCAAATTTTAAGGGTGTAAAATGTAATGAGCACTATACATTAAGTCACCTTTCTCTTTCACGTATGTATGTTGAAGCGTGTCCATAAAAATATAAGGATAGGACTATCCACACACCTATTTTTACTTTTTACACACTTTTTTTAATTTTCGACCATTGAATCGCATAAATTGAAGAAGATCAATGACAAAAAATTAACAAGGATGTGTGTAAAGTAAAAACAAGTGTGTGAATAGCACTATACAAATAGATATATAAGCACCATCATGCTAATCTACACCTTTCAAATTAACAAAGAAGTAAGAGTGGGGGATTGAAGGTAATTTGATTGCACGTTTTACCTCTACAACCAAAGTTAACCAATAACTCAACTCATAAAAAAAATTGAACTATTAGAATATGAGCCAAGAAATGTTTAAAAGGCAACAAATTCCTTCCTCCACACTCAGCAATCAACCAGTACAAACGTACAGACAACAAGGTGCATGCCTTTGTATCTTAATCTCTTTAACTACTAAACAAAATATTCCAACAACATTGTGTTATGAATATTGAAACTAATTAAAGGTAAATTAATAATGTCGACACAATTGTGGAATCTTGAAAAGTTCAAGCCAAAAACACCTATATTTTAATGTAAAATATAGGTAAATTAATTTTTAATCAAACAATATTCATTTATTTTGTAGGTAAATCATTTTATAGTGCCGTTTTAGATTTTCAATTTGGTGAAAAAATTAAGATAAATTTAAAATACGTAATATTATGCAAATTTAAAAAACAATTTAGAGGAATCAAAACATCATATCATTTTATATTTGTTAAGTAAAGTGGATGCTGCTTCTTTTCTTTTTCTTTTTTTTTCTGGCCACAAACCTTAATCTCCAATTTGTTATAATACACAATGAATTTAAAACATATATTCATCCACTTATTACTATAGTCTAATAGTACTCATCTTTACTTATAAACGAGAAGTCTTCGGTTCGATTCTAGCAAAAAGCGAATTTGAACTACATTATTATTAGCCCATTGTGAAGCTTAGTCCATTCCTCCATCCCTTTAGTGGAGATAATATTGTTTATTAAAAAATATTAATACAATAATACCGAATTATTAATCTCTCTTTTGAAATCGGTGTATACAATTAATTGTATACATTAAAATTGTAATTAGGGGTACTTTAGACATCCAAAAAATGTAAAATGTGGTAAGTCAAATAGGATTAATAAATTTGCTTATGTGAAATCTAGTCATTGCGTTTTAACAATGATATAAGTACTTTTATTTTGTCGAAGGTAAATATTATTACAAACAAAATAAATGTAAACAAGCAGAGGCTCAATTACAAGATAAGCACAACACAGAAATAGACCCCAAAACTAAACAAAACAGAGCCCAAAACAGAAAGAAAACAAAATAAAAATGCAAAACACAACCGCTTGCAACCCCCGCCGTTGCCATAGCATCACAGATCCACCAACATAAACTAGCCTGAGATCCAACCAAACGACACCCCAGAAGTAAAGCAAATGAAAGAAAATAAGGCTCGATCATTCTCTACCGATCATCACCACAAAGATTGCAGCCACAAATCAAAGAGAGCTTGTGAAAATTCACGGTTCGCAAGCTACAATACCAAAAGGCAAACAAGATTGATGTTGTAGACCACGGAGGGACGAAGCCAAGTGGGAAGAGTATGAATCAGATTGATGAGAAACATGGAGGTGGACGGGCATCAGGGAGTGGAGGGAAGTGGAGGACGGAGTTTGGGGCTAAGGACAGTGAGATTGAAGGCAAGAGGAGTGTACGACGGGAGATCAAGAGAGAGAGGGAAAACACAAGCTGAAACAGAAAGGAAGAGGAGCAGAGAGCTACCACTAGCCATAGCTAAGGTCGGCAGCGGCATAGAAGTTATCAGAATGGAGATCACTCACGCAACGACTAAAAAAGCTCTCAGTGGGACATAATGATTCTTTCACCAAAATTGGAGAGAACTGTAAATAGGATAGCGTTATCCACACTCTCAATTTTATTTCTCACATACTTCTCAATTTTTAACCGTCACATTGAATGAATTGAAGAAGATAAATGACAAAAAATCAACAAAAGTATGTGTGAAGTAAAAAAAGGAATATGAATTATCCTAAACATATCATAATATAATTGATTTTGCTCCTTGACATACACGACTAAATAGAGTACTGGGAGAATAAAATTAAGCAGCCACACCATCCCATATTATTCATAAAACAAAATTAAAGCTGAATTATATTATTGTATATATACATAGGCATGTATGTATATATGTAGATGTAGTACCTCACCAACATATCATTGATAAAACTACGGGAAACATTTTTATATGGATGGCCATCTATAAGTAAGACCTTTTGCCAATCCATGCAAGTAGTACTTCTACAAAAACAAGATGATCAACTACAATCGTTACGTTCACTATTTTTTTTTCACATCAAGATGGCATAGCGCATGCTATCACTTACCATTAGTTGATTCATCTCCGTGATCTGGGAAAACTCACCAGATGCCCACACCCCATCAGCACCATGAACATGATGAGGTTGAGAAAAGCAAGAAATCACAGAAAATGGCACGAGTACAACGCTGTACAACAGCGAATTAAACCCCTTAATCCAACGTATACGCGGCAACGATCTTCTATCCACGTGATGATGATCATGATGTGCTGGAAAAATTGGCAATTCTGCTGGTGCTGGGTTCCCTGCCCCAACATTTACCATGCTCTCATCTGCTACTCTAGGGCTTTTCCTTATGTTGTGGAGATTTTGCCTCATTGTTGCTAGCATACTCCACATCTCTCGAATCACCGGTCGGATGCCTAATTGCTTGCCGGAATCAGAAAACTAATGAACAGAAGATTTTGGTTGTGAATTTGGTGAATTGAAGGAAAAGGCTTTTGGTGAGGCCAAACTTTCTATGTGGCTTTTGATAATGGCATGATAGTGGAGTTGCTAGTGCTAGTGTTTATCACAAAGGGTTTATGTCTGAGTGTGCCTTTTTATAAGGAAGTTCACATTCACATATATATATTCCTATTTTTGTGGGGTAATATCAAGGCCAACATTCCCACAAAGCTGCCTAGCTAATTATCTAACATTATTACAAATTAAAACCCCCTCCTGTTGTGCTGATTTTGTACACATTTTTAGCATATACAAAAGAAGTGAATTTTTAAAATTTTGGCATTACCTTTACAGTTCATTTGGTACAAAACTGAGGGCTGAGGATGTCCCACATATGTGTGTATGAAGCTTGGGACACTTACAGATCGTATCAAAAATCAGATCATGGTGTGGTACCAATCATTTTATGATGAGAAAATTTCAACCATTTGATAACTACTGAACTTCGAATATATATTTTCTTTTGGATACATAACACACATACGACGGATGATGCATAATTAAGGAAGTCTACTAGCTATCAGTCGGGTCCCAGATTTGGACTACATAGGAGAGAATCAAATACTGGAATTTTTTGTGTGATGAATTCTGATATCTTGGCTATCACTACAACTCAGTCTCTTACAGGTGTAATCAACATGCATAGTAACCTAGCTATCAGTTGGGATTGTTGCTAAATAATTATTTAGAAATCTTAGCAACCTTTTTATTTGATCTTTATGTTTCTTTGTGGCTTATATTCTTATCATATGTAGTGTTGTATGATCCAAAGCGTTTATATTCTAAATCACTTTTCAAATATTATCTCTACAAATAAATTAAATAAACTAAAAATTGATTAGTAATAATCTAACAATTATTGGATATACGAGTTATGTTTCTTAATTACTTAAAATGCTAAATTTCAACAACGTTAATTAAACAGTTAAATGAACTCTGATTTAGTTGATTATTTGCACAGTTGGTGACCTAGAAAGTTGATAGTTCCGATCATCAAACAACATTGTAGGGTTAAAAGGAGAGTCGAGAAGGTAGAAAGAAAAAGTTCAAGTGAGAAGGGTACTAGCTAGCATATTCCTTCACAAAATCACTCAAGAACTAATTATAATTAAAGCATTTAAATTCACAATTTGTCACGACAAAACTATATATGTTATGGTCCAACAATTTTTTATTAATAAACGATATTATCTACATTAAGGAAGTGATATAGTCCAACAATTTAGCAAGAAAACATTACTTTTTCTATAATGGATAGTTTAATCGTTGTGCTCTTGGACATGATTGCCATTTACTTGTCTTTTAACTAGCTACTACCCACAGCTTATTTTTGTTTTATCTTATTTTTATACAACCCACAGTTATTAGGGCTATACCTTCAAGAAAGAAACAAAACCAGGCTGGTTTGTTCACATATTCCTTTTATTTTTTTAGCTAGCTGCTTCTTTTAGGAAAAGAAACATAATAAACAAGTTAGTGTTTGAGTACTGGAAAAGTGATTAATTAGGTCCATAGTGATGGAAGTTCATGAACCTGCATGCTTCAATTAGTTTCGTTTCACAAAATCCTATAATTATCAACAAATTACTAAAATGTAAAAAACCTTGTTAAAATAAAATTATTACAAAATTAGGTTTTAATTCTTAAACAAAATAAGTTTATATTAGTGCCTGGTACAAGATCTTTTTTTTATATAAAAAAAAAAAGGATCAGCTAGTGGCTGCACCACGTTAGTCTATCATTCCAAACGCCAGGAACACTCACAGAGGCATTTCAGCCTCTTTTGGCCACCATCATGCAATTCACCAACGTCAAAAATCGAACTTAGGACATATTGTGTGGAATACATGTCTGAAATTTATCTCCAACTAATGGGCCACCCCGTGGTGGTTGTACAAGATCTAAAATTGAGTTTAGTCCATTGGATCTATTTAAATGCCAACATTTATATTGCATGTCTTTTTTTTTTCTTTTGTAATTTCATGATTTTTTTTTTATTGTGTCTACACTAATTCCTTAGACCAACTTCAACAATGGGCTAAAACCTATAATTCTCCTCTTTTTTTCCCCTCAAAATCCACTCCAACCCATGACCTAAAATTAACCTAAAACCCAAATAGAGGTCAAATATCAGCCCAAGTTTAGGCCACAAATTGGAGTAGACCCCAGCTTCTGTGACTGAAGCATGGGTTGTGAAGCCCAATTGCCCTCTGTCACTTACTCCACGCGCAACACGCAAAGCCTTCAACCTACATTCAAGCGAGGTGGACCCCACCCATGTGGGTGTGTCCCCCGGTTTGTCAAGTTTTGTCTATAGCCAACGGCTACTTTTCTTCATCGGGTGGTGGTGGTAATTGGACCGTTGGTTAATCCAACGGTCCACATTCAAATATGTTTTAGTTCAAAAAATTATATGAACATTTTACATTTATATATTTATTGAATTCAACGGCTTGGATCGAATATAATCAAATCTAACGGTAAAAAAAATATCTAAAGGTCCAAATTAAAATCCAACGGCTAAAATAATTAAAAAAATAATAATTTAACTCAAAATTCAACCAAAAACTCTATGAATACCTATGTATTTGTTCAAACATCCACACAAAACTCAATTTTCTCCTACAATTATTCCAATTTTTCTTTCTACCATTTCTTCTCATTTCCAAATTTTTTCAAGATGGCAAAAGAGCATGTTAGAGGTCGTAATTGGACCTTTGACGAAGATATTGCTTTATGTTTGGCATGAATTTCTATTAGCAAAGATGGTGTCATCAGCACGAATCAAAATAGAAAGGTCTTGTAGGGTAAAATCATTGATAAGTTCCATGAAAACTCCAACGCCAGTCGAAGGGAAACTGGTGGTGTTTATGATCGGTGGAAGATTATCAACAAAGTGTGCACTTTGTGAAAGGGAAGCTTGGAGAGAGCCATTGTTGACATGCCTAGTGGAAGGGGCACCTCAGAAATTGTGAGTTTCTTTGTTGATATTTTATTTGTCATGTACATAATAGTATTTTGCAACTAATTGTTTTTATGTATTTGCGACAAGAACTACACCAAAAAATCAAGCTTTTAAGTTGCATTATGCTTGGAACATCCTCAAGGATTGTTTGAGGTGGGGAACCGATGCGGACCAACAATGGGGAAGATTATTTCATAGTGAAACCCCACCCCCAAATGATGTCAAGGAAGGTGTGAATTTTGCCAACAATGAATATGGTGTTGAACAAATGAGTTTATGAGTTTTCGATTGTATTAAGTTTATGTGGTTTATTAATTATCTTTTTTTTTTAAGTTTATGTAGTTTATTAATTGTCATTTGTATTAAGTTTATGTGGTTTATTAAATGTCGTTTGTATTAAGTTTATGTGGTTTATCATGATTTTCATGTATTGATTTAGTGATTTTTCAAAATTTATCGGAATTTAAATATTTTTAGGTTAAAATGTTCATATAATTAATTTAGGATAGTCTACATAATTTTTTTTTTAAAGTTAATATAAAAAAATAGCTTTAATTCATTCTTTGATAATCTCAGGCTAAAATTTTAAGCCATAAGTTTGGAGCAGAAAAGCTGTTTTTGGGCTAAATATTTTTAGGTTTTAGGTCACCATTAGAGATAGTCTTATAATATATTTCGGTACAAATATTTAGGTACACTAACTCATTATAAGCATATTTCGGTACAAACATTTTGATACACTAATTCATTATAATATATTTTAGTACAGCTATTTTTGTACACTTATATATTTACGTATTTTCTTATGTGTCACTAATTTCTTTTAATTTTTTCTCATTTAGATTTATTTATAATTGGAAGAACTAAAATGTGCATATTAATAAAATCAAAATTTTAATGTGGAGACATTAAATAACAAAAATAAAATATGAATTTTAATAAAAGTACTCTTCAAAGAATTAAAATCAAAATGTAACCTAACACCAAATTTGTTTTAAATTTCAATTTTTTTCAAGGACTAATGTCCACAAGCCCTTAATTACTTGATATATTGACTTAAACAGAAACGGAAACGACTTTATTAGGTCCTTTTTCAATTAATTTCTAATTGTTTTTGTAGGAACACACTAGAATCACTAGTGCGGAATCATATTATGATTTCCAATTATGTTAAAGTTATAATTAAAAATACCAGCTCCTATAATGGAATTTGCAAACCAATTCGAAGGTGTCAAGGGCTCGATTAATGTCAATGTTCATCCAGTTCATGTAAATTGCCTTACACAAATGTATGGTCTGGCTGCTAACCGTATCGTGGCCTGCAAATAGATAGCTATCTCCCACTAATTCTCTTTTCAAAGTTTTGGTGTTGGATTAAACGCGCTAATTAGGTCTAGATGAAGTCCATACTCATACTTCCCACTTTGATGGTCAAACTTAGAGGAAGAAAATCTTTCGATCATGGACACAAAACATAATTTGGTTTTGTTCACAAAAATATAATTTGTTTTTGTATTCACTATTTAGGTCGGCAGATATACTCAATTGCTCCCTTTTCATGCACACTCAGCAACTATGTTTATGAGAGTCATAGTGATAGCATCTGCAAATGCAAAAATTTTAAAAATTGAAACAATCTGGGCAAAAAAATTATACTGATTTCTTAAAGCTACTTAAAGATCATTCCTTGTTTGTTTGTATTTGTTAGCAATTATAATGCATATGGTATTGGTCAATTCATTTGTTTTTAACAAATGCGTTAACGTTGGACATACCATTTAGAGATTAAAAAATCAACCATACATGATTAACGCAATTTTGTGACACTATAGTATATAGAAACATGACTCAATATAACCAGCTTCGCACAAACTTGTAATATATAATCATGTATTAGGGATTAGTTTGCTATTGTAGCTAGGTTAATTCCTTATAGATATGGCACAAAACCCCTTCTTTTGGTTTACCTCAAAATCTAGTTTCATGACCTGAACTTATTGTTTAGGTTCTCCTTTAACGACCATCAATATTTAACCTTCAGGAAATTATGTAATCTAAACATGATTAAATTAATAGATAAACTCAATGGTTCGATAAAAGAACTAGTTTAATCGTCATGGTCAGAGCCGGATTGTGTCAC